AAGGTAATAAAAAATATCTTAAAAGGTACCACAGAAAATTCTCCTAGCCTCAGTGACATACAATTTTGACAGTACTTAGACATATAGCGGCAAGCGGTAAGCTCCGAAACACAGGGTCTCGGGTTTATAAAGTAGCTCCAAGTAATTTGGATGAATCTGAAGTCTTGGTAAAAATCAAAAGGAAAGAAACCGTTATATTCTAATGTTACCTACTGTAATGAGTTGTTTTCCTTTTATAAATTTGTAGACATAGGGCAATACTTGTTTTTAAAAGGTAAATAGTAGTTTATACTTTTTACCATTAAAATGAGTATTCAAAACAAACTGTTATGAATCTCAGGTGAGTCTGGGATTCTGTGTAGCTTGGCTTGGGATGTGATCGTGACATTAAGAACAGCAGTTATCCTTATCTATGGCTTGATCTCTCCTCAGCAGGATCACTAGACAGACTGTGAAGAAGACATAGGGGGGAGGGGGTAGCAAATTTCTTAATATCCTGTTACGATACATTTAAGAGTTTGCAAGCTTTTCATGACGGTTTAATTGTAGTTTTACTTCAGAGGTCAAACATTAGTTATTTCTGACATCTCTGAATAAAATATCAATTCGTCTACCGTATCCTATCTACCTAAATACTTAATACAATAAGGGTTTTCTCCGTTACATCCCAATTTTACATCCCTTTTTCAGCCGTTTTAAACAGATTTTTACGATTGAAGTGTCATTTTAAGGCGAATGTTCTAGCGAAGGGACGAATCGCAGCTAAAAAGGTAATGCCCTTTAGCGCTTCCCCCCTATCGTTTGATTTATTTCTTTAATTTGCTTGTAAAGACCCGTTAAAATTAAAATCCTTTACTTGAACGTTTGAACAGTAAAAGTTGTAGTTAGTAGAATAGTAAAATCATGCATATTTACTAATATTTTTTTATTTACAGGTAAATGAGTATTTTTCTGTTATGAAACAAAATTTTTGTTTTACAACATACAAGAAATACAATATAAGACAAATATTGTTAGTTGGTTTTTTTCTTCTTATAAACAGGCTCCATGTTTTGTCGGTATCGTATAGCCCCAATATACCTACTGTAGAGTAATATAATTGACTACTATACTGAAGTAGACATCCCATCTTTACATACCAACTGTTACCATTTATTAATTGAAAAAGGATATAGTTATGTGAGCTAGTCACAGAATGCGTTAGTGTCTAAAACTCGATTTTGTACCTTATATACGTGCTGACGTAGTTAATGTGTTGTATTACAGTTGCTATAGCTCACAATAAGTCATTCCACCAGCTTGACTCTTTTTAAAGTGTGTGTATTCTACAGTAATTTGTAATTTACATCAACGCAATCTGTCGATCGCTCACATCAACTACAACGATTTTGATTAGAAAACTGGTGACAACTCTAACATGGAGATGGAACGTCTAGGCAACATGTTGTGTTTTGACTGCCACTCAAGAACTATTAAATATATAATGATTAAGCCTATTACTTATCCACACATGTGGACTATGGCTGCTCCGGTGGCCAATTTCTTGAGGTGTTCGCCCGATAATTGGTCAACCCGCCCATCGCCAGGAGCGCTCACTGCCGCCCAGCCGCCCATCTACACGGGGCTTTCTACCACACACCGTCCATTAATTTGTCGACATGCGAATTTCAGGGAATAATTTTTGAAATAATAACAACTTTCTGATAATACCGTACATTTACGATCGAATGTTTCCATGTTCTCAGCCTTGTTAACAATTAGTGGCGTATCAGGTTCTTTAGGTTTCTAGAGCAGGTAATTTAAACATTATGGTCTATAAGTGGTGGGACAGGCTAATCTAATTTAGGTTATGTGTGTAGCCTGTACTTTTGAGAAACTTGTAACGTATGGCTTAACTGCCTCAATCATTTTAGTGTTTCTGAACCAAAAGGTGACCTGAGTGTAGCGATTCTGCTTAGTGTTACTGAAATATACAAAGTACTAGGTTAGTAATTACTCTACTAAAATTAAGCTTTTCATCCAATGGTAAAACAGTTTCAGATGCTACAATGGAATGAAACGTCTTTTTTTTAGCAACTTCCAAACCAAATGTCTTAGGCAGGTTTGCTTGTGTATATTTCTTGTACGGTTGGGTTGAGTGCGTTGATGATAAAGTATAAGGTATAAGGTATATTTGATAGTGCACTTTTCCCCTTTTAATATACCAGAGGTTAAGCAACAGCTAGCAAATGTCTCTTCTGTTGGGTTGTTGTATTATGGTTGAATCAAAATTAGGCAATGAAGTTCAATACCTCATGATCTGTATATTCGTACATCAATATACAAGGAAATCAATTGTTCAGACGCCTTAATTAATTGCTGCAATAGTGGATTGATTATAGATATTTCCGATCAAGACTGGTTTGCCGATATAGTTGTTTAATCTGCTTACGCAAACACTAATATTGAATGATACGTATGCATTTTGTTTACAAATCATTTCATATAGTCTGTATGCTGGAGCTTGTCTCCTGAACCTCTTTATACCTGAGGCCCGAACTTCAAAGCATTGGCTAGTCCCCAGGAAGAGGGTCAAGAGAATAGTCCCCTCAACCAGAGTATAACTACAAATATCAACATGTTGATTGATATAGAGTGGAGCATTTTACATTAGCTGTGAGTTAAGTTATCTATTATGAGTTTCCACAGATGAAAAGGGTGGTAAAAGTAACTATGTATAGTTGAAACTAAAATTTGTTGTTTGGATATAATTCCACGTATAGTTCTTTTAGGATCAGATCCATATGACGAATATTATAAGTGAATAGGATAGAAGATAAGCGATAGCCTTGTTACTATGATCAGCTGAACCTGTATCCCGGACCCTTCATTAAAAGCCCAATCAATGACAGCTGGGTTCAGTTTCGAACCATCAAAAGCTACTGACTTTTTAGGATCGTACCCGCGACCTTCTGATTAGAACACTATATCCACTCCACTTTGCTGTAGGATAAAAATAATTTTATAGTCTCATTTACAACCCAAGAACTTTGTATATACAAATTGTATTGCAAACAATAGCCTTTCGGGTCAGATTGCGGTGGTCTCGCCCAAAAGATGGGCGTTGACGAAAGCGTCCACCTGTCTCAACAGCTTTCACTAGTTCCTCCGAAGAAGCATGGAATGCGCCCGACATTTCCTTCCGCAGCAGGTTCAATGTTATTCAATCAGTGTCACCGTCTTGATGACCTCACTGAGGTAAGTCCAGTTACCTCGAGGTTACCTTGTGTTAATAGGTGTGATCCCCGTCCCTGCTGATGACCGATGACAGAAACTAGTAGACTTTGTCGCCCTGTGTAACTCCTTGCATTGGTTTATTGTGGAAGAGTTTATTAATTTTACCGAGTGAGAAATGTCTTAAATATTCCATAAGGCGTTTTAGTAAAGCCTAAATAGTGCCGGCACGTTTATCCCATTATGGAAATTTGAAGCTACTTGTTGTGAAATATGTAAACTTGATAGCGAGCTAATCTTAAGTTAATCAAGATTAAATATGGAAAATATAAAATATAAAATAAAATCATCTACAAAACAAAGAAACATCGCCATAGGGGTGAGTCAGTACAGTTTAGGTAGATGGTACCCCCGTTCAGGTATTTACGCTATTTATTTTAATTACAAAATTTACACTGTTAGAGTGTGTTATGTTACCCATCAGGACATTTATCATGTTTATAATGCTAATCAAGGCCCGTGTTTCCATACTTTTTTTCTAGCCGATGCCATGCCATGTGTTGGTTTACTCGTCCCATGATACAGTAATTACAACGAAAAATAATAGTAGGTATGTAACCCTAACCTAACAAACCCTATAACTCCATGAATAAACAAGCTTGTCAACCATACATGATTGAATTATGTCAAGTGTCCGTCCAATATTCCTATTTTATTTTTATTGTAATTTGGGCTATTGTACAGCCGTTTCAAATTATTTTAAACACAAATCGTAAGAAATCGAGTTTCTTTTCTTCGAATACTTTTCAAAACAAAAACGACCACATCCAATCACATTGATTCTGATCACGATTACTTCGAACTTTAATTTACACCACTTTTAATTAAACACTATGCGGAATGTTATTACGGGTGTTACACATGGTATAAAAATCTTTAATTGTCGAAGAAAGACACGATAATAACTTACCTTTCCCCGACCAATTATCCGGGTAACGTATATTATCTACCAGACCACTTTCTCTAAATTATCTCAGATTATTCTTATTGACATGGGATGCCTTTTAAAACGCCAGTGAGGCGTATGTGTTCCAAATCAGTCAAGAGCAGAAATGTCTTATTACCTTATTCATCCATGGCCACCGATAACGACGGAATGAAATGAAAGTTGTTTGGGATTTTATTGGGATCTATGTAACAATACTGGTTTTGTCAATAGGAAGGAAGCCCAATTTACTTTTGGAATCACATATTTGTTTAATCTAGAGCGTAGACCACAAAATTAAGCGACACATTTTCAAGTAATTAGATTTTGAAATGCATAGTACAATGAAATGCATTAGGGCATAGTAGTACTGTCTCCATGAATGACAGATAGATAAAATATCTTTAAAGGTAAAAAAGTAAATAGTATTTTGATCATCCACTTTAACACTCTGGAATGTCTTATAGCCTAAGAAACTCCATTTTTTTTCAATAACAGTTTTGTTGTGTAATGATTTATTTAGTTTTTTTTTCTAATTAGTATAGCCAATAATAAATTCGGATTGAAGAATACAATCGACCTAGCCGAATATGAGACCACTCTTTTTGGACTCAATTTTCAATACAGATTCCAATTTTTAGTAATAACCGCTCAAAAGGTATCAATCGTAAGCAAGTGCATTTCAGCTTACGCACAAACTAAATCATGTGGACCGATCCTTCGACGTGTCAACACTGATACGGCATAAAACCTTTACAAACAAAACATTAAAGAAAATATAGAAGTAAAATCCAATACATACCTTGACATCCTTGATGTTGGGTATAATGTCGGTAGCGAAGGTATTGTTGGCGGGGAGGGGCTTGTTCTTGACGCTGGGGAAGATGACTCCTCTGTTCCTGCTGCTGCCTCGGCCCGGAGGAACCCCCTGGACCACTCCAGGAGCTGCTGTGATGACGGACGGTGTCGTCGTGGGGATGGTCTGTCCTTGGGTCGTCGGGGTCGTGAACGTCACCGGTGGAGGTGGTTCGGTCAAGGTGGGGTCGTTGGTATCCTGGAACCTGTTCTGGTCAAACTCCACTATCCTGTCTATCGTCGGGTCCAGAAGGAGTTCCGCTGGCACCGGCCGCTGTGCTAACGTCACGACGTCGTTCTCTTGCTTCTTCAGTCTCTTCTCGACCATATCTAGGTTGGCAATGATCTTGTTCGTGTTTGTCCTCAAGTCGTCGTGGATGTTGCTAATAGCTCTCTCTTGTCTTTGTGTTTGCGTGAGAAGCTCGTCTGACTTTGGCACTAGATCGTCCACTGACGTTTTCGTGCCTACAACCACGTCCCACACCTCGTCCATCTTGTTTGACACTGACAGGATGGGATGCATCTGTCTCACCAGCTTGTCCAGTTTGCTGTTCTTGATGATCGTCGTGGTCGGGGTGGGAGGGGTTGTTGAAGTTCTGTTCCTGAAAGCCTGAGGAGGAGGCCCTGTTTGGATTACCACCGGTTCAACCACAGCTTCATGCACATCTGACATCATGCTTAAAATCTTTCCGAGGTTCTCGGACACCAGGTTGATGTGGAATTGCAGTTTCCTGTCCACATTCGAAGTGGAACTCCTCAAGGAGTCAAGTTCGGAACTGAGTACTTTCGTGATGTCCAACACGTTCATGCTTATAGGTTTCTTTTCACTGGCTTCCGCGTTTATATCATCCGCTGGAAGAAAGTTGGAGTCTAGTTGGTTTTTCAAACCCACCAACTTACTGTCTATGTTACTGACCTTTTGATCGAGCTGAACGAGTCTCTCGCTCAAATTATTATCCACCTGACTTAACGTTCCTCCTTGAAACAGTTTGAGATCGAATGTTTGAAGTTTCTCGATGATGGAGTCTGTTTTGTCGATGTTGTCGTTGACTCTCGAGTCTAGAGCTTCCACCCGCCTCATTAGGTGTTCTACAGCTTTGTCCAAGTTCTCTATTCTCTGCAGCTTCGACTCCAGCGTCGAGACGATCACTTCGAACACGTTGAACAGGTATTGTTCCCTGAAACAAAAGCATTTTACATTAGAAACACAGCGACACAAACTCTATAGATAATTTGAAACCATTTAAACCACAAGTCGACCATTGGCATACGATGTTTGATGTCATTCTAAGCAGAAAAAACATAAATGGGTGCAATTTTTCCTTCGTAAATCACAAGGGAATGACATTTATGACATAATTATTTGATCATGAGAATGAATCAAAATGGAAAGCAGCGGAACCTGGATATCCCGCGGGTACGATATTGGCCGTATTTCGTAGGTAATTTACGTAAATGAACTGTAGTCGGCGTTCCCGAGGCCTTGCCGCCGCCACCCCATCAATCTCTTCAGCCATCCGCCACCACATCCGCCGCTGCTACTCGGGAAACGGAGGCAACCGAATATACTGTACTTAATTTACGTTTCTTAACATTCGCATACATAATCTGTTTACTGGAGTCATTTATCTGCTTTGGGGTTGCAACGAAGAACCTTATTTACCTAACCCCTTAAACCTACCTTATACCTTATTTACTGGATTAACCTTTATTTATTTGTTTAAATGCTCTTTGAAATGTTGTGGAGTCTATAATTTATTAGGCCAATACATTTACCTCTATGCAGTTTTATCCTCAACGCTTAAGATTGGACTGCTAAACGGTAGAGTATACAAGCTTAAAATTCGTAATTCACTTATTACTACCGGTATCTTATCGCCTGAGAAATTTCCTAGCTTTTTGATGGGTCAAAACTGGACTTAGCCGTCCTTGATCTTGGGCTCTAGTTTAAATAGTCCTGTCTGAAGAAACAGCTGATCAAGTCGGTAATGAAACACTGTGATCTCACATTCACTCATCTCTTGGAAGCGAGCTGTTCTAAGGTACAGCCCAGGACTTTGGTCCAAAAGGTTTTGGGTTCAATCCCGCAAATCAACAATTGATTTCATCTAAGTAATAATGTTTCCAGGCGTATTCTGAAGTAACGCGAAAAACAACCCCGGGCTAGAGCAGGCAAAGAAATCCTTCACTAATTTCCGCTTTACGCACCTGGTTCGCTGGCAACGTACTTATCTAATACAGATAGCATACACTACCTTGTGTGATAGCAATAGAATTTCAACTATAACTATAGATTTAAACAGTCACATAGGTTAATTACTAATAGTACATTCATTTCCACTTTTAAACTTTCTCGCTAGATTTCACAATATTGGATTATGACACCACGCGTTGCGTACTCATAGAGCCATATTTAAAACTCCTTGCGTATTATTAATCTGGAGGAAGGCGATAGTTAAACATGCAGTAATACGAGAGTCCGGCGGCGGCGACCGGGAATTAGCCTCCCTTGCAAGACACACGTGCAATTAGTATATCATAGTTGGGACTAATTGCACAACAGGCTGCAATTGACGATTTAGCTGTGCGATAAAACACGGCTGAAGGCTGTGACTTGATTAGGACGGGATCGAATTCAATAAGAGTTTATCATGGCCCGCGCCGGTGATTACAGTGTGCAGCAAATGCAAAACGGTTCGAATTGGCACAAAGTTGCAGCTGTTGAGTGAATTTGTTTTAATTTACTGGGTAAAATGGTTGTCAGATGTGGTGAGGACGTGGTTTGTGTAATGGTCATAGTAAGAACAGAAGTTTGGTGTCGACTATTGGCATGGATAACACTATGTTGGATAGTATATGCTATCGGATAGAAGTAGACATCCCATCTACATGGACCAGCTGTTGTCAATCTTTTATTAGAAAATAACATAGTTATGTAAGCCAGCCACAGAATGCGCTAGTGCCTGTTGTTATAGCTGATGGGTCATAATAGTTCTATAGCTCACAATAATATAAGTCGTTCCATCATTTCTGAAGAGGATTTTGTGTTATGTAGAAAAGTGTATTGAATTACCAAAGTTTGATTGTAAAATCAGCTGACGCACACAGAGAAAGCCTCAGTTTCAGTCTAAGCAAGAAGACCAGGGACTGTAAGACATGTGTAAGTATGTAAGCCCAATTGAGGAGCAAAACCTTCTGGCCGTGTGTAAAGTTGTTCAAAGATGATATAATGCACTATCTGAATAAGGTTCTTAAAAACCTGATTGTTGTCGACGATAAAAAGAATAAATTAGCTAGTGACAGGTTTTAATTGCCTTCGTTAATAACGGTTTTTCCACTGCGTTTGAAATCACACGTTGTGTTGGTGAAAATCACAGTTTTACATAGTTTCGGGATCTGGAAACTAATATATCAAAACCATAACAAGATTAGTACACGCATCCAGCCAAAGCTGGAAAGTGATAAACTAAAACCCACACAGAGATATAGTGTGGTACTAACTGTATAGTAGTAAAAAGAAGAAAAAATGATGTGAACAAATAAATGGCAAGTGAAAATTTAAATGTTGTTAAAGGTTGTGACACCAGATGATGCCATAAGCGAGACATCACATAGGTATGGGATGATAAACTAAATGTTCTTATTAACTTAATTTACAAAACACGATTAACGTAAGTAAATCATCTTTTCGCAACTTAAAACCATAATTACCTGTTTAAATTCCTGAGAGGGCAGAATCAAGATAATAAGAAACAGCAAATGTGTGGTCCAACCGCTAGGGGCGAATTTAAATCATTTGCTGTCAATTGTAATTAATTAAATTCGAATGCGAACTCGATTTCACCGGAGAGAAAATGAAAAGTTCATCTCGGCCTGTTCGCAGATACATTGTGAGATCTAGCTACAGTTAGCGGTGAAGGGCGATGGGGGCGGAGGACCACCGTGGTGCCGCCTCCAAGGTGCCGCCCCCAGGCCTACACTATCGCAACAAGCGGCTAAACCGACAGTGGACACTCCTATTAGACCGTATCTGCGACCGACGTCTAACTTACAGACCTCGTAATTCTCTGGTTCAACCCATACATGTGGGGAACTTTCTGTGGAGCTTTGAATGGAAATCGGTTGGATCGGCTTTGGGAGTAGTAGACTCAGGTAGTACGCGTGTGTAATAAACAAGTACATCAGTACATCTATTGTTTTTTAAAGGAAATCTTCGATTCAGTGACAGTTTTTTCATTTCCTCGAGTTGGATCTAAGGAAAAACGTGGGCTCCGAGCAAGCGGGCAACACGCCATTATCTTTTAGAGAATTGCTACAGTACTGTCGGGTACAGTTTTGGGTTGGCGAGATTTCACACTCAATATAGAACAGTCGTTTTTAAAACTGGCAGCTAATTCAGATCGCTTTTTGAGGTTTTAAGTATCTTATTTTCAAAGAGCTTTTTATGATTATCATCAAATTCATATAGGCCTAAATAATTTACGATATTTATGTCTAATTAAAAAATTCTGTTGTATAGTTTACTGATTTAGTCATTGTCCTATTGGAATCTCCACAACATCTTCATGTACAGGCCTAATCAACGAACGACACACTAATCGATTTGCGATCTTAATCAATAGCGTAGAGTTTTCCGTTGAAAGAGTTACCGAAGTAAATATGTTGCACGCTTTTAGAACTGTATAGGATAGAACTACTCTACGGAGAGAATGGTTATTTGTGTAGCTAGTATGCGAAGTGGCACTTTGCTGCACATGAGAGAAATGTTTATGTTTACCCACGAGCCGTGGGCGAGTGTGGAAAGTTTCTCGAGTGCAGCAAAGGCACTTTGCACTCGCGTTACACATTATATTTTTCCTACAGTTACTATAAAGCATATAAATAGTGAGTATTTCAAACACTATACAACACGTTTTTAAGTTAGGTTAAAACCAAGCATTGATCGAAATGGGAAACGCTGCACCAGCTGATCGTAGTCGTAGTATCTAGTTGCCAACTTATTTTCAAGCGTACACGGATTAGGTGTCTAATAAAAGCATGCTGTTTTTTGTTCTTTGGTTAGAATACTTGAGTGCGGCAAAATAAAGAGTTCGGCAAAAGTAAAAGAGTGTGGCAAAAGTAAGTAAATGCAGCAATTAGCAGCATTCTGTACTATAATCAGTGCAAGGAAGTCCACTTATTTAGGGGACTGTAGGAAAAAATAGTTGTCAAACCTTGTAGTGATATTTTATGTGTTTTTGTATGAAATTGTAAAAAGTTTTTGAGTTGAAAAATAAACAATTTTATCACTAGTGTTTCAACAACTGTTTCTCATTGAGTATAACCAACCTGTGTTCTCCAACTTCTTTCAACCAACAATCTACTGGATTCCCTGGGAACAAGTTTTGCCAGCAAAACATGTTCTGAATCATTTCACATTACAAACCCGGGATGTAAATAAAGCAGATTTGTACATATTTCACAGAAACAGACGCGGATTGCGCAACTCACTTTCGCCGTATGGATGACAGGCGAGCGGTTTATAAGGACGACAGAGACGGATGGCGGCGAACACTATTTGTCGAGAAGTGTCGCAGCCAGAACTGGATCCATAGACACTTACATAAAGTAGCAGGAGAAATGTACCTCTTTACAATTTACAAGAGAAAAAACCGTTTGAATAGATGTTGAGAAACAGGTGACAGTCATGGATGACGGTAGAGCATGTGGCTGCAACTGCACTGTTGTTTGGATGTTGTTACCGACACTGCAGTAGTTGATGTATTTGCTATGAAATAACGCTTGAATAATAGATATTTCTACAGAGTATCCCGTAAGTAAGTACAAAACAATCAGGAATAGCCAATGGGATGGAGAACGAAAGGATATTTGAGATAAGAATATGTCTATATGTTAATCGGGAATGTGAGCTGTCACCATACCAATTTTCAGCCCAATCTGACCAGTAGTTAATGCGTGATTGAACTTCAAACAAACAACACACACAAACTTTCACATTTATAATATTAGTAAGATTATTTTTTTCTGAAATGATACAATTATATCTCTTGACTTAATAAAATGGTATACCAATTTTCATAAATATATCTTAAATAGTTTTTTACTTATCAGTGTAAAACACAAAAAATGGCAGATATCTCGCTAATAAGGCATTCTTAGAAAATATTATTCCTGATTT